AATGGACTTAATTGATACCTACAGAACACTCCATCCAAAGACCACAGAATACACATGCTACTCATCACCACATGGAACATATTCTAAGATATACTCGGCCATAAATCCAACATAAGCAAATTTAAAAGGACCAAAATTCCACCAAGTACCTTCTCGGACCACAGTGGAATAAAAATAAACATTGACACCAACAAAGTCTCCCCAAAACCCACGAAGACATGGACACTAAACAGCATGATAAAGGCCTTTGGCAAAGTCTCAGGATACAAAATAAATGTACAAAAGACAATCACATTTCTCTCCACCAATAATAAACAAACAGAAACCCAAATAAAAAACACAATTCCATTCACAATAGCCACACAAAAAATGAAATACCTTGGCATCTTCCTAACCAGAGACATGAAAGACCTTTACAATGAAAATTACAAAACACTGCTCAAAGAAATAAAAAAATGACACAAACAAGTGGAAAAATATCTCATGCTCATGGATTGGAAGAATCAACATTGTGAAGATGTCCATCTTACCTAAGGAATCTACAAATTCAATGCAATACCCATTAAATTACCAACAACATTCTTCTCAGACCTAGAAAAAACAACACAGGAATTCATATGGAAACACAAATGTCCAAGAATAGCCAGAACAATCCTCAGCAAAAAAAAAACCAACAAAGCAGGTGGTATCACATTACCAGGCTTCAAACTTTACTATAAAGCTACAATCATCAAAACAGCTTGGTATTGGTATAGGAACAGGCATATAGGTCAATGGAACAGAATTGAGATTCCAGAAGCAAAACCTCAATTTCTCAACCAACTCATCTTTGACAAAGCCCCCACTGCCTACCACTGGGTAGAGGAGAACCTATTCAGTAAATAGTGCTGGGAAAACTGGCTGATCACATGCAGAAGATTGAAACAGGACCCCTATCTATCCCCATGCACAAAGGTTAACTCCAAATGGATCAGAGACCTAAATGTAAAATCTCAAACCATAAGAACCTTAGAAAAGGAAGGAAATACCCTCATGGAAATCGGAACTGGCATCCAATTTCTGTATAAAACCCGAAACCCACAGGTCATAAGAGAGAAGATAGACAAGTGGACCTTATTAAACTGACAGCTTCTGCAAAGTCAAAGAA